TGCCTAGAAAGGGAGTGGGTAATGAATGGGTGTCTAGGGCAATTGGTATAAATTGCTGGCTAGACAGGTACTGCAAGGAACTTGCAATCCCATTCATTGATAACTGGGACCTATTCTTTGGCAAACGTGATATGTATGCAAGGGATGGGGTTCATCTCTCTGGGGATGGAGTGGTTGCATTAGCCAATTCAATTGAGAGGGTAATTGATGACTTGTCTAGGAATTTAAACTGATAGATTATAGAGGTATGGGTGTTTCTGAGAAACAATCAGGCTGCAGCATTAGGGTTAAAAACAACAGTTATTACCGGGATACCTCAGGGATATGTTTAAAAGACAATATTCAAAATAAAGTTGCTAGTAATGGCAAATCAATTGATCAACAAACAAAGAGGGATAGTAGAGGACAACGAGTAACTATCTCCCTTAAAGTTTACTATACAAATAGTAGGAGTCTAAGAAATAAGATAGATGAGCTAAGATTACTTGCAAGTGTAGGTAATATAGATATTATTGGTATAACAGAGACCTGGTTCAACCTGAAAGACAGAGAAATTCCTTCTGAATGCAACATACAGGGTTATAAACTATTCCACACTGATAGGGTCAACGGGATGGGTGGTGGTGTGGCGATGTATGTCAGAGAAAATTTAAATTGTTGTGTTAGACATGATATAAGATTAGAAACATCGAACACAGAATCTGTTTGGCTTCAGTTTCTCGAGGGACGTGACTAATTTTGGGTGTGATTTATTGGCCCCCCAAACCTTGATAGGGAGTGCACTAAGCTGTTATGGGACGAAATTCATAAGGCATCTAGATATGAAAATGTTGTGATAATAGGAGATTATAACTTTTAACAAATTGATTGGAACAATATGACAGGAAATCTTGAGTCTAGTGACTTTCTTGTTACGGTTCAGGATTGCTTTTTAGAACAGGTTGTGACAGAACCAACTAGAGGAAACAATCTGCTTGATTTGGTTCTTGCCAACAAAGATTCACTAATTAATAATCTTGTGGCTAATGATAAGCTTGGGGAAAGTGACCACAAATCACTTAGTTTCAATATATCATGGAATTACCCAGATAACTGCAATCAAATCTCTGTCCCAGATTTTCGCTTTGCCGACTTCATGGGACTGATAAATTACCTGGGTGGGCTAAATTGGGATGTCCTGACTATGGGTCAGGTAGGTGATCTTGGTTGCCAATATGACGTTTTTCAGAGCATAGTTCTAGCTGCCCAGACAACTTTTGTTTCGAGTAGGGAAATTAGATCTAACAAAAATGATCCGAAATGAATGAACAATAGATTAAAACATCTCATTATCAAAAGAGAGGCATATATATGTGTATCAAAAGAGGGAATCGGCGGTTAAGAAATCAATATATTCAATTAAAGAGAGAAATAAAGAAAGGAATAAGAAAAGCTAAAAGGGATTATTAGGCTAAGGTCGCAAGGGATTCAAAGACTAACCCAAAAGGGTTCTTTCAGGTATACAGAAGTAAGATTAGGGACAAGATTGGCCCACTTAAGAGTAACTCTGGTCAGATCACTGACAGTGATAAGGATATGTGTGAAATTCTAAATACCTACTTCCTCTCAGTGTTCACCAAGGAAAATACTAGCGATATTCCTGAAATAATTGATTATGTAGAACAGGATGATAATAAACTATGTACAATTGCAGTAACTAGTGACATGGTCCTCAGACAAATAGAGAAAATAAAACCTAACAAATCCCCAGATCCTGATGAACTATTTGTAAGGGTGTTAAAGGAATGTAAAGAGGAACTTAGCATACCTTTGGCTAATCTTTTTAACATATCACTACAAACTGGCGTAGTGCCTGATAAGTGGAAAATGGCAAATGTAATACCTATTTACAAGGCAGGTGACAGGTCGTTGGCCTCAAACTATAGACCAATAAGCCTTACCTCCATAGTGCGAAAATTTATGGAATCAATAATTGCCGAAGAAATTCGTAGCCATCTTGATAGGCGTAAGTTGATTAATGAATCTCAACACGGTTTTACAAAGGGGCGTTCCTGTCTTACGAATTTACTAACTTTTTTCACTAAGGTGTTTGAGGAAGTAGATCATGGTAATGAATATGACATTGTGTATATGGCCTTCAGTAAGGCTTTCGATAGAGTTCCACATCAGAGGCTAGTGAGGAAACTTAAGGCACACGGAATAGGAGGAGAAATTTTTTCCTGGGTAGAGGCATGCCTAACAAATAGACAGCAGAGAGTTTGCATAAATGGGGAGAAATCAGAATGAAGGCATGTCACAAGCGGTGTTCCTCAAGGGTCAGTGTTGGGCCCGTTGTTGTTCACAATTTACATAAACGACATAGATGAGGGAATAAATAGCGACATAAGCAATTTTGCTGATGACACGAAAATAGACCGTCCAATTCATTCTAATGAGGACACTAGAGCACTCCAGGATGATTTGAATAGACTGATGCAATTGTCGGAGAAGTGGCAGATGCAGTTTAATATTGACAAATGCAAAGTTCTAAATGTTGGACAGTTAAATAACCATGCCGCATATAAACTAAATAATGTAGATCTTAATACTACTGATTGCGAAAAGGATTTAGGAGTTCTGGTTAGCAGTAATCTAAAACCAAGACAACAGTGCATTAGTGTTCTCAATAAACCTAACAGAATTCTTGGCTTCATATCAAGAAGATTAAATAATAGAAGTCCTCATGTTGTTCTTCAACTCTATATATCGTTGGTTAGGCTTCATTTAGACTATGCTGCTCAGTTCTCGTCACCGTATTACAGAATGGATATAAATGCTGGAGGATGACAAAGATGATCCCATGTATCAGAAATCTTCCCTATGAGGATAGACTGAGGGCCCTGAATCTGCACTCTCTCGAAAGGCGTAGAATTAGGGGGAATATGATCGAGGTGTATAAATGGAAAACAGGAACAAATAAAGGAGATGCAAATAGCGTGCTGAAAATTTCCAGCCAAGACAGGACTCGCAGCAATGGTTTCAAATTGGAAAAATTGAGATTCAGGAAGGATATAGGAAAGCATTGGTTTAGTAATAGAGTAGTGGATGAGTGGAACAAACTCCCGAGTTCAGTTATTGAGGCTAAAACGTTGAGTAGTTTTAAAAATAGGTTAGATAAATACATTAGTGGGTGTGGGTAGGTGTGAGTTGGACTTGACTAGCTTGTGCTGCTGGGTCTGGTGCAGTGCTCCATCCTTGAGTGGAGATGACCAGACTGGGTGGTTCATTGGGCTAATCCGGTGGGGTCATTGGTCTAATCCGGGGGGGACATGGACCTGCTCTGATGTTGCAGTGTCTGACACTGCAACATCATGGAATCTTAATTCTGAGGACATGTACATAACGTTCATGGACCTGCTCTGCATGGGTCAGTAGGCCTGTTGCAGTGTTCCTTCTTTCTTATGTTCTTATGTTCTTATATGATAGGATGGATAGGGAACCAGTTGGACAGATGCTACAAGTGTATGGAAAAGGTAAAGGGTTACTGAAAGCAGTTAAGAGTTTTTATGAGGATAGAGAGGCTCATATTAGGGAAAATAGAAGAGAAGGAAATTATTTTCTTATAAAAGTAGGCCTTAGACATGGATGCGTGATGTCACCATAGTAGTTTAACATATTAATAGATGCTAGGGTGTTGGGGAGAGGTGTGGGATTAAAAGATAAAGAATTTAATACAGAGGAGTTATTACAGCTACTTTCTGCTGATGACATTGTGCTTATAGTTGATTCTGAAAAGAAATTCCAAAGGCTAGTGAACGAGTTTGGTTGGGAGATTCTGAAGAAAAGTTCTACAGGCTGGTGGGCGACTTTATAAGGTTATTTAAAAGAAGGAAATTAAATATGAACACGGGAAAGAGTAGACTGGTGAGAGCAACAAAAAATTTAGGTAATGAAATAATGGATATCATAATGGATAAAAGGGAGTATGGAAGAAGTGAATGTGTTTAGATATTTGGGAGTGTGTCTATGGAAGATTAAGTAAAGCATAGAAATGACGAGGGGGGAAAGGTGGGTAGTGCACTGAGGCGTCTGTGTTGATAAAGAGGCAGTAAGGGAAATATATCAGAGAATAGTGGTACTAACGCTTTTATACGGGAGTGAAGTATGGGTCTAAAGCGTTGCAGCGAAAAGGATGCTGGAAGAAGTGGATACATCGTGTCTGAGGGAAATAATTTGTAGCTTGATGATCAGAAGGCGGTGCCGGAGTTACTTCTGAGGACGAGTTGTTAAGGTGGTTTGAACATTAAGAGAGGCTGGAGGAAAAATAGGATGACTTGGAGAGTGTATAAGTCTGCAGTGGAAGGAAGGTTGGGTAGGGGCCATCCTCGGAAAGGTTGGAGGGAGGGGAAATTTTTTTTTTTTAATGCAAGGTACTTGAACATCAACGGACATGGGTTGGTGAGTTAGATAGGAGTGAAGGCAAGTGATTTATATGGCTTAACGTGCTGTTGGAATGTGAGCAAAGTGACGTTTATGAAGGTGTTAGGGAACACCGTTCAGCCGACTTGAGTTCTGAAGCTGAGAAGTACAGTGCCTGCACTATGAAGGATTGGGACGGGGAGGGTACTGCAGGTGGGAAGGTCATATGAGCTGTGGTATCGACTTGCTCTGGAAAGATAGTGATGGAGTGATGGAGAAAATATTTCTTTTCATGGTCACCCTTCCTCGGTGGGAGGCGATTGGTGTATTTAAAAAATGTATATCACCCAAATTTAAAGAATTTGGAAATACATTAACGCTAACCATAAGCAGTGTTTGTTTGTATGTTCAAACAAATAACAAGGAACTGCTCAGAAACCTGAGGAAGCTCGAAAAAAATTATGTTTTTATATTTTCGTGGCACAGTAAGAAAACGAGAGTTTTTAGAGGAAATGTAAAATAGCTACAGAGAAATTCTACTCTCGCATACCGGCTTCCTCACTTAAAATAATGTATGGCATACACTCTCTACGGTAGCTCACCTGACACTCATAGGTACCGTTGTCACGGGTGTGGACGTATTTAAGTTGCAGCGTCCAGTCATCGGAGCCCTCAGTGTGAAGAACGTTGAAGCGCATGTCGCTGGTGTAAGTGTAGATGCCGGTGGTGAGGATGTGCCAGTCCCACCGTCTGATCCATGACACCTGCAATAGTATGAGAGAGAACCTCAGTTGTGATGGAGTTGACTTCTGTGGGATTGAGAGACAATACCTATTTGTTTCTCCGGGAAGTGAGAATACTTAGTGTCTCAGCTGGAACAATTCACAAATTTCAACTAAACTGAGGAAGAATTTTACATTTGATATTGATCTGAGATGAACCCAAATGACTTCTAAAGTTTCGATGTGATTAGATAAAGCTTTAAAAACTTATTTTATTACTACAACGACATTCTTGCTTAGTTAATTCCATCAATCAACAACATTCCTCGTATTTGGAAATATAAACACTTAAGCAGTATAATGTGGTCCTTTACTGACAACGTTTCGCCCAACGTTTCGGGCGAAACATTGTCAGTATAGAATCACATTATACTGCTTAAGTGTTTATATTTCCATTGTGTCGGTATTTTATACCATTTATTTCCATTCCTCGTATTTGTTTTACCTTTTAATTAAGTTGTAAAAGTTACCTTTACCTTTGATTTACCTTTGAAGAGTTTCCAGAGTTTATCTACTCTCTGAGCCCAGCCATGGGCCAGGCTCATCTGGTGCTTGCCTGGTCAACCAGGCTGTTGCTGCTGGAGGCCCGCTGCCCCACATATCCATCACAGTCTGGTTGATCTAGCACCTGGTGAAGATACTTGTCTAGTTTCCTCTTGAAGGCTTCAACACTTGTTCCAGCAGTGTTTCTGATATCTTCTGGTAAGATGTTGAAAAGTCTGGGACCCCGGATGTTGATACAGTGTTCCCTTATTGTTCCCCACCGCACCCCTGCTCCTCACTGGGTTTATTTTACACTTCCTCCTATATCTCTCACTCCAGTATGTTGTTATGGCAGTGTGCAGATTTGGGACCAAGCCCTCGAGTACCTTCCAGGTAAATATTATCATGTACCTCTCTCTCCTCCGCTCCAATGAATACATGTTCAAGACTTGCAGGCGTTCCCAGTAGTTTAGGTGCTTTACTGGCTCAATGTGAGCCGTAAACGATCTCTGAATTTGTTCTATCTCCGATATTTCTCCTGCCTTGAACGGGGCCGTCAGCACTGAGCAATATTCTAAGTGAGAGAGCACTAGCGATTTAAAGAGTGTCACCATCGGCATTGTTTCCCTTGTTTTGAAAGTTCTCAGTACCCACTCAGTCAACTTCCTGGCTGTCGTGATCTTTGTCTTGTTATGGTCTTTAAAAGAAAGGTCCGCTGACATAATTATTCCTAGGTCTTTTACGTGTTCCTTACGTTCTATTTGGTGACCCTCTTGAGTTTTGTATATAGTGCTCCTTTTGAGTTCTTCATTCTTTCCATACCTAAGCAGTTGGAACTTATCACCATTGAACGTCATGTTGTTTTCCACTGCTCACTGGAAAACCCTGTTTATGTCTTCCTGTACTTTTTCAGTGTCCTCTACCGTACTGACTTTCATGCTTATTTTAGTGTCATCTGTAAATGATGATACAAAAAGTGTGCCGGGTGTTTTTGTCTGTCTGCTATGAGGATGAGAAACAGCAGAGGTGCCAGGACAGTGCCTTGGGTCACTGAGCTTTTGACCTCGCTGATGCTGGATCTTGCCCTGTTCACTACTATTTTTTGTATTCTGTGTGTTAGGAAACCGAAAATCCATCTGCCTACCTTCCCCGTAATGCCCATGGCCTTCATTTTGTGCGCTATCACTCAAGGATCGCATTTGTCAAACACCTTTGCAAAATCTGTGTAACTCACATCTGCGTTTTGGCCGTCTTCCAGCGCCTCCGCAATTCTGTCATAATGGTTCAGCAGCTGTGACATTTTTGACATATAAAGTAATTCAGCACTTGTTTTAAAATACAAATACATGTAACCATACTAACACTCGCTAGCTTGTCTTATTCTTCAACTTAGAAAACAATTAAACAAGAACATTTAAAAAAATTATTCTAATATTAAGTTAGAAAATCTACATTAACTATAAGTCCTATTAATTATTAATATCTTTAGATTTCCCTAAAAAAATTTTCAGGTCTCTAAAGCAAAACAGGGAAGAAAAAGGCCGACGTACATGGCAAAATAATTGCTACAAGAGTTAAAAAAAAAAAAAAAAAAAAAACTCAGGCGTATATGTACGCAGGTGACTGTGGGAGATGTGTGTGTGCACTATATGTGTGTGCACTATATGTGTGTGCACTATACATGATGAAGAGGTAAACACTTCAATGAAACGATAATTGTCGAAAGAGGACGACAAAATATTCACGTTATGGTAAACCTTGTTATTCTTGTTACTCGTCTATAGATCCAGTTGTTGCTATCACTTGTTCACTGTATAACCTGATATCTGGCTCGGAAATTCACTAAAATATAGAAACCAGCTGTAGAGTGCAACATTACAGTAACTTTAGCCTCTCTAACTTCCCGTTCAATAAGCTAATCCTATTTTGTGAATTCAACTTGAATTTCTTAATTGTTAATCTCAGCTTATAAATACTATTATCTTTATTTTTAAGCAAACTTGCTTTTTACTACGTTAAGTTACTTTTAACCAGGTTAATTTCGGTGATGCTATGTTACACTTCCCTCTATAAATTAAATAAAAGAAATTGATATACGTCTGGTAATGAAGTGGCAGATATAATTCAGGAAATGTTGAGATCTCAGCGATTATCAATAATGGAGCAAGAAAATACCGCTTCAATGAAAAACTAAGCAGCATAACCCGACGGCCTTGTTCCTGGAGAGTAACACAAGTCAACCACTACTGGATGATATGGGCCACAAAAAGCCCTTTGACCTATGCCAGGGCCAAAAGTGCCTCTAGTGATCAGGATGAAAGCAGCGAGAATGACAAGTTCTTCTATAAACACAAAAGATTCTGTTATTAGCTAAACGCTATACAAGGCCTTGTCAGTGAAAACGCAAATCACCATCAGTTTTTGGCCTATCAATAAAAAACATGAATCTGAATACATAAACACAATTCTGCTAAAAGAAATAAGTCAAGAACATTACCGCTACCAGAATTTAAGTGGTCCCCATCCATCTAGAGAGACCAGTCTTAGTAAGTAACCAGGGAAGAGGAACGAGAGAAACTCCTCACAGACACTAGTGACAGCAAGTAATACCATAAGATGGTACTGTATTTAACGTTAACAAATGTCTGTTTTGTTTATTCTCTGTATATAATACTCCATCAGTTTCAACACTGCTGTACATATTTAATAGGAAATTTTCTGAGTGTTTGTATATCACTTTATAGACATTTCTATCATTTCATGAAAGTGCAATCCATGGGACTGCAATCTTTGAAATTAAAGTTTCTATTGTCAAGTGGACAGAAGCAAAATCAGCAACACTGTGCTTATCATACCTTCTATCTCCTTAACGTGCTTATCCCTCCCTAAGCTAACTGACCTTTTGCGATTTTCTCCATCAGAAAACAGAAACAGTATGACTCTTAAATTTCATGCTACAGAAAGTACTAAACTCTTGCCTAGACGAATCGCAACGGGGCCAAACCACATTATCAATCAGATTAAGAAATAAAACGAGAGGCTCAAACTGCTGTTCGTAAATTGACAGTTTGAAACTCTACTGTCTCGGCCTCCATGGGTTCTAATAGGAAGGAATCTGAACTAATACCTACTGTATTATGTTCCGTCAGAGGCACCAACTCCACCCCAACTGAACTCCTCCCCTTCAGTCCAAGAACTTTAGCAGTATATCTATGTTTTCTTCCCGTCAAGTTTATGAACTCATTTGGGTTTCAGTTGATGGAATATAATACATTAAGAATTAGTTCTGATTCTTTCCTGTTAGAGGCCCAGGTGGCCGAGAGAGTAAGACCATAAGAACGGAGGAACACTGCGGAAGGCCTACTGACCCATGCAAGTCAGGTCCTTATAGAGCATCAGACTGACAATTTACCAACCACTTTTCGCTCTCCTGACCCATCCTTTTATTTATTCATTGACCGTTGTCTATTATAACTAGCTCTCAATGAATAGACGATATAACCTTGAGGGAGCAAGAATAGATCTGCTGCTAAAAACTCCTGGCCTAAAGGAAACATTATAACCGGATTAGAGTTGGTTCCTCTGAAGGAATATAATACCGTAAGTATTAGTTCCGATTCCATTTTATTAGAAGTCCAGACGTCCGAGACAATAGAGTGTCGCACTCACTTTATTTATTGTACTAAATAAGCCGAACTTGCTGAATAAGCCGAACTTCCTTAAAACTTTAACTTTTCCATTTTTTACAGAATAATAGTTAAATTTTTCATTACAATGATACGATTATTATTTCTTGACCATTGTAACTTAGAAACTCACCTAACCTCCTCAAATGTAACACAGTTTTTACACCTAATTTTTCCAATATGTATCATTGGTTAAATGATAAATATTGGAAAAATATTTATTCATTAGATTCGGAACGTTTTTTGCGAAATGACTGCATACACAAATTTTTTCTTGCGTCATTCGGCAAGAAGAGCTTTGCTATTTAAGCATAAATTGCAAGTTTTCCTATTCGGTATATATATATATATATATATATATATATATATATTTTAATATATATATATATAATATATTTTATATATATATATATATATATAATATATATATATGTCGTGCCGAATAGGCAGAACTGGCGATCTTGGCTTAAATAGCAACGCTCATCTTGCAATAATTTCGCCAAAATCACTCTGAACCTAACGAAAAAAATATATTTCACTGTGTTTGCTTAGTATTAAATTATTGCAAACAAATCTAAAATATATTTAGTTGGTTTAGGCTAAAATAAATTGTTCTTGTTATAATAAGGTTAGGTAAGTTTTCTATGATTCTTTTGGTGCAAAATTAAAAATGTTTACATTAACATTAATGAAAAAAATATATCTTTAAACGTATAAGAGAAAATTTGAGAAAGGACTTAATTTTAAATGAGTTCTTGCTAATTGACCAGTTTTACATATTCGGCACGACATTATATATATATTTTATATATA